TTTGCTTTGTTTGATACCGGAGCCACGCATTCATTCATTTCACGACGATGTCTTGATGCCATCGGAGTTCGCGCTACTTCCGCTATCGATCCTCTTGAGGTGAGTTTGGCCTCGGGAGGAAAGATAGTAACTTCAGCTAAAGCTTCAGATCTTAGCCTTTCCATCGGTGGCCGAGTTTTGCCTACCGACGCGTTTGTTCTCGAGATGAAGGACTTCGACCTTATTCTCGGAATGGATTGGCTATCCTTCTTTCATGCGGATATCAAGTGTCATGACCGGGAGATTACTCTCTATCTCCCGAGAGACGAGCCGATTACCTTCTTCAGCTCCAGAAACCGTTCCTTGCCTCATGTTGTTTCCATGGCGAAAGCCACTAAGTTGCTGAGACGAGGCAACCATCGGGGTTATCTGGTGAGCCTCGTTGATGATTCTCAGATGATGCGTTCACCCCGCGATGTTCCAGTCGTTCGCGAGTTTGTTGACGTCTTCCCAGACGAGCTTCCAGGAGGACCGCCCAACCGTCAGGTGGAGTTTTCTATCGATCTCATCCCAGGGGCCGGTCCAGTATCCAAAGCCCCGTACCGTATGGCGCCTAAGGAGTTGCAGGAGCTTAAGGCGCAGATTGAGGAGTTGTTGCGACTCGGTTTCATCCGACCGAGTGTATCACCTTGGGGAGCGCCCGTTCTCTTTGTTAAGAAGAAGGACGGATCTATGCGCATGTGTATCGACTACCGGGATCTCAACCGGTTGACGATCAAGAACAAGTACCCGCTTCCCAGGATCGACGACTTATTCGATCAGCTGAGGGGAGCCTGTGTGTTCTCAAAGATTGATTTGCGATCAGGCTACCACCAGCTGAAGATCAAGGAGTCAGACATCGCTAAGACCGCCTTCAGGACTCGTTACGGCCATTACGAGTTCGTAGTCATGCCTTTCGGTCTCAGCAATGCGCCAGCAGTTTTCATGGATCTCATGAACCGTATCTTTCATCCATACCTCGATCAGTTCGTTATTGTCTTTATTGACGATATTCTTGTCTACTCGAAGAGTCAGAAGGAGCACGAGGAGCATCTGAGAGTGGTTCTTGACACCCTCAGACGAGAGAGTTTGTTTGCCAAATTCTCCAAATGCGAGTTCTGGCTCCAGCGAGTATCCTTTCTGGGTCATGTGATTACTCAATCAGGTATCGAGGTGGATCCATCCAAGGTTTCAGCCGTTCAGAATTGGTCAGCACCGAGGATTCCCTCCGAGGTTCGCAGTTTTCTCGGTCTAGCTGGATACTATCGCAGGTTCATCGAGGG